CCTGCTGAACATGATTGGCTGGGCTGCCTTCGTCCTGTCGCGGATTCTCAGCTTCTATTACAACCTCATAACAAGTGGTTCCATCCTTTCCATATCATTTGCAATAGGCATTGTTATCTTTGGTGAGTGTTAACCGGCATTACTTTTGTTCCCTGTTTTCACAGTTTGACTGAAACGTACATACACACATGCGCTCACACAAACGCGCACACACACAAGCACATACACACACACATACACACACACATACACACACACATACACACACACATACACACACACATACACACACACATACACACACACATACACACACACATACACACACACATACACACACACATACACACACTCACACACACACACATACACACACACACACACACACACACACACACACACACACACACACACACACACATACACACACACATACACACACACATACACACACACATACACACACACATACACACACACATACATACACACATGCACACACACAAACGCTCACACACACACAAGCACATAGACACACACACACACACACATACACACACACATACACACACACATACACACACACATACACACACACATACACACACACATACACACACACATACACACACACACATACACACACACATACACACACACATGCACACACACATACACACACACATACACACACACATACACACACACATACACACACACATACACACACACATACACACACACATACACACACACATACACACACACATACACACACACATACACACACACATACACACACACATACACACACACACACACACACACACACACACACACACACACACACACACACACACACACACACACACACACACACACACACACATACACACACACGAACACACACACTCATATATTTGTATATGTATATATGTGATTTTTGGCTGGTACAAATAGTACAGATCTCAGCATGCAGTTAATGGCCTGATCTTCTTTTCAGCATACATTTGCTTGTACAAGATGATCGGCCTGACAAAGATTGCCAAAGGGTCGCAGTATGGCAACACAGGCGCGAAGAAGAAAGAGTAAGCTCCCCCCACCCCCCCTTCATATTGCAGAGAAAATGAAAAGAAAGAAGGAAAGAAAACAAAATCCTGAAAAAAATAATAATAAAAATCTGGTAGATAACTGGAAGGCTGCAGTTTATATCCATAAGTTTCTTTCATTTTTCAACATCATCATACTTAGTGGTTACTCTGATTATTCTGGAACAAAGTTGGCCGAAAGAGAGAGACAGAGAGAGCTGGATAAGGTTGTTTCCAGGTCTTCCTTCTTAGTCATTTGTCATGCCATGATTTATTTATTTACTTGATGTGTACAGCCGTCGTCACTCATGGTTGGTTGTTTCTAGTGTTTTTATTCTTGAGGGAAGGTTGACATAATAGCAGGTTCCAGATTTATATATATATATATATATATATATATATATATATATATATATATATATATATATATATATATATATATATATATATATATAAATGTATGTATAAAGTCACACAGTTATATTTTTGGCAGGTTCTTATCTCCAGTAGAAGCATTGTCTACGACATACTGCTTTTTTCACCCATTTTCTGTCACAAGTCATGGGCTTTTTTATTTTTTTCATTATTTATTGAACCTTATTGTATTTGCAATTTTCTTTTCTTTTTTTCTTTTCTCAAAGGAGTGTTCAGAGGCATTGGATGTGTGACAAGTTAGGGAAATTCAGATTCTGTTTCATGTGGGATACTTGTAGGAGTAGGACTGATAAAGTTTTCTGACAGTAAAGCTATTTAGATTGTCAGGTCAAAGGAAACCAGTCTCATTTTTTCATTCATCATAATATAAGAAAGTGCAATGTACTATACCTCAGGGGATGCAGGCCGACTTCACCTCTCCTGCATCAACTCTTTGTAAGGCAGACCAATGCTGTAATCTGTTATCCAGAAAGTTGTGATTCTTATTTTTTTTTTATTTATCACATATATCTGATGTAAAGCATGAAGTGATGTAGCATTTCTTTTTTTTTTCTCTCTTTTTTTTATTTACTTTGTTCCCAAAAGAAAAGAAGTTTTCAATGGGTGTCATGAGAAACAGCAAAATATGTGACCTCGTGAAGAGTTGATTTTAGTCTTTTTTCTTTTCTTTTCAACAATGAAGCAAAGAAAATAAACTGTACTGCACTGGCTGCAATAGGAAACTAGGAATGCTTGTAGATTTTAAAGCAAACCTCTTTGCAGTGAGTTGATGGAAGAAAACCATGATAAACAATGTTACACAAAAATGATCTCTGTAAGGCATATAATATAAAGCTAAAATTCATTAATTTCATATTAGCCAATTTTTAAATTTATCACAGACTTTTGTCACTAATTTGATGACTTGTGAAGGAATTTTGAAAATATACCTTTAGTCAGAATCAATTTGTGGCTTTGTGACTTAGAAAGATCATATAATTTTTTTCCAGCATCTCACTGAAACTTGTATCTTTAGTGTAGTACGAGGTTTGTTTCCAATTCCTGTAGAAGTTGACTATTTTGTCTGTCACATGAGAATCTAAGTGAAATTAGGCTGGTTTTATTGTGATTTTATGAACTCCAGAGTATATCATGTTGACCTCTGGACATAAAAACTGTAGGTAGTATTGGAGCAAGACAAATTTGTCTTTGTGGTTAATGATGATAGGAAGCTTTTATTTGTTACTACAACTCTTTCATCTTGTTTTGCTTATCTTGGTTGACATGGTCTTTAATGGTGTAAAGGAAATTGTAATCATATTGTTTTCAGTAATCATCAGATGTGTGAATAGTGGATTTTTTAGTTCCAAGAATATGGTTGTAGATAATTTCTTACAGATGCTTTAACAATGTACCTTGCATGCGCACCTTGCACGACTGGCATACATAGTTGCAACCATGAATACTCCAGATGTAATTCTCAGCAATATTGATCAATGATACTTACTAATATCTCGCTTGCATTTCCTTGTCTGGCTGGTTTGCTATAAAAGGGATGTTGCATATTTTTGCTCAGAATTAGGGATCGTGTTGCAAGCAATTTTGAAATTTAACGCTCTTTAAAGCCTCTCCTCCTCCCTCAATAAAAATGGCTGGTGCACAAGCAGAAATTATGGGAGCCTATTGACTGAAAGACCGCAACAGTATCGGATGTGCGTTTGTGTGTATGTGTGTCTGTATGGCCATCCCCATCCTCCAATGTGAATGTAGTTATTGAAGGTTGTATGTAATTTTTTAAGGTGCTGTGTGTGCAGGTACACTATTTCCAGATCAGTGAAGGATAGACTAAATGTGTTTCCCCTTAACTCTAAAGGAAATATGAGATATGGTACTAATATTACTGCAGACTTGTTGATCTTGTTAAAAAAAAAGGTAATAATGATAATAATAATAACCCTGTAAACTATGGTAACTGAAAAACAGATGAAAGTGTAACAGGAAATAGATCCTATCATGGGAAATCCCTCCCTCCCTCCCTCCCTCCCTCCCTCCCTCCCTCCCTCCCTCCCTCCCTCCCTCCCTCCCCCCCCTCTCCCTCCCCTCCCCTCCCCTCCACACACACACTCCTGTCTGTGCTCTCTATCTAGTCTCTCTCTCTCTCTCTCTCTCTCTCTCTCTCTCTCTCTCTCTCTCTCTCTCTCTCTCTCTCTCTCTCTCTCTCTCTCTCTCTCTCTCTCTCTCTCTCTCTTGCTATTTCTGATGCAAAGATTATGAATTTTTGAGTGATGCATTGTAAAATTTTGAGGTCCATATGTAATTTACATCTGTCATTTGTTGTGATACTTTATTAGAGTCATTAAGTTCTAGTCTGTAGGATAATTGTGTTGGCATCACTTCCATTTTTTTTTTAGCCCCGAGGCAGTGGAAAATAGAAAGTTCATTATTTTTTACATTTGATTTAAAATACTTCTTACAATTAAAACAGAAATGACAGTAACAAATCATTGTCTTTGCTTTTACTCTTCATTCTTAGAACAAAGGTTGTACAGTTTTTGGAGTAAAAGGTTGACTCTTTTTGCATAATATGTGCCATCCAAAAATAAGACCATGACTTCATTAGAGCCTGCCACTGTTGAGGGGTTAAGATTACTCTTAGAAATGTCCGGAGAAGTTTGGAACAAAATTACAGTTTTTTTTATAATAGAAAACTAGTAATAAAACTGTAGAATGAAGTCTAAAGTTATTTAAGCATTACTTATGCATACTTTTTGAGCTGACATGCAATGTTGTATGAGAAGTGGGCATAAGGTTTGTTCTGGTCTGATCAAAGAACCCATTGTAAGAATGTCATAGGGTATAAATTTTACTCTAGGTTTAGGGATGGTAAAGTTAACTAACAGTTGAGGTATGGATATGCTATGAAACTGCTGCTAACATATGTATAGATATATATAGATAAATTAATAAAAATCTTAAAGAACTGCTACTCAAAATGGAATACCTGCATAGTTTTGTAAGCCCATTCATTTAGGCTGAGTATAGGAGTAGGTTAAACAGAAGTTAAAAGGTTAGGGGTGTCACTCCTTTTGAAAGATAGGTAGAAAGATGCCTGCAGCATTGGCAGGCTTAGCTTTCTGTGTAGCACTTTTATGGTAAACCTATGTAGTAACTTTGGTAATCCTAAAATTTTACCAAGAATTTAATATTAAGTTCACAAGCACTTATCAGAAGTATTAACTTTCAGGTATTCAGAAAATACTCCAAAGTAAAGAGCCAGGTCAAGCAGATTTTGTATTACTTGTATTAAGTTTGTCCAAGACATAGATTGCCTGTTAGGTCATCTAGTACAATTAAAGCCTTTATTAAGTTACAAGTATCATTTTTATGAACTCAGTCATATTTATTTTCATTATACCATGCATTTCCATTTATGAGAATGTGTGTTTGTGTGTGTTTACATATATACACACACACATTATATATATATATATATATATATATATATATATATATATATATATATATATATATATATATATATATATATATATATATATATATATATATATATATATATGTATATGTATATGTATATGTATAATATATATGTATAATATATATGTATAATATATATGTATAATATATATACACACACACATATAAATACATACACATTATACATTATACAGTATACACTATGCAGCATATTGTGTTAACACAATGTAGTCAAGTAAAATGTATATGTAGAGGTTGAAGGAAAATAACTTGGGTCTCCTTGTCAACAGCTGGCCAGAGTATATTCCATGAATGTCCCTGTATATGATATTTCATTAATGTTTGCATTTGAGAGAGAAGCATACAAGGTCATAGATTACATATTCAGAATTCACCAGAGCTCATAAGAAAATTTAAGCATAAGGATGCAGTGCCAGTCTTGTACTAACTTTTGAGTAAGGTTTGAGGTACCTTTGTAAAGGAAGATGGTCCAAGGGCAGCTAAATGTGGTATGGTAGGGCAGCTATACTGTGGAAGGGAAGGAAAGGTTGTTTGACTATAAGATACTTTTTTTTTTTTTTTTTGATGAGTTAGCCTTTTTTTTGTTTTGTTTTTTTGTTACTTCAAATCCAAGAGAAGTTTAAGTTGTTAAAGTGAAAGACAAACCATCAACTACCCTAACACCCGACCAGTCCTGCATATCAGCTCCTACCGTTCCTGCCTGGCTATGATGGCGAGGCAGTTTGCGAGGGCTCATTTTTTTCCATGATAACAACATCCAGTGTGAAATGCGTCTCAGTTTCTGTTTCCTGCAACTGTAAATATTTTATACATAATAAAATTTCCACATTGTTGCCCACTTTGTCCTTTATTTCTTGGTATCCCTTAAATCCCTCTTTGAGATGTACAATTTTGTTGCAATGAGATTTAGGTTCTTACATTTATAAAGCATGCATATCTTTTTACTCTCCTTTTCTAAGTTTCCTATCCAGTATATATATACTTTGTGATCACACCAAGTCTGAGTAACAGATAATAGCAAAACATACTTAGCGATTTTCATTAGTGTTTTTCTCTGAACATTTTTTTTCGTTCCTTCAGAAAACGGCAACTCAAAAAATTCTTTTGCCCATTAAGAGTAGAGTGTACTGTTGAATGGAACACCAAGTGATTTTTATTTAAA